AAACAGGAGAGGCTGTGCCCTGGACAAAGAGGAAGGAAATACGCAGCACCAGAGCGCAAACACACAGTGTATATTCCCTACCCAGCATCTGATCTCATCGGACCGCACTGTATTTTTATTTATTTTATTTGTCCTGTTAGCTTCCTCTAAGTCACTTTGAACTTGGCCTTCCAAATGTAGCTCTGCTGCTGAGCAGGACTGCAGTGGGCAGTTGGTTTGGGAACAATCTACTCCTCATCCTATATTTGATTCCATGGCTTTAAAAACTTGCTACAGGTTATAACAGGACCAACATATACTAGCATATTCTTTGGTCAGCCAACATTGCAAATTTACCAAGGAAGGTAGCACATGACTCATTTTCTTCTGTTTTGGCTTCACAAGATTTGTAAATTGGGTTTTGAGATATTTATTATTTTATCGATCTTCATCCTACCACTGTGACTCTTATTTTCTTACTTTTATCAGGCCATGACATAACTATAGCTCCCTTTAGGAATGATTCATTTAAAACTTTCACTAAGTCAAGTCAATGTTTATATTCTTTGCGTCTTGTTGCTCTCTTTGCCGACCATCACCACCACAATTTCTGCACTTAGAGATGAAGTACCTATGTGATACCTGTTATGGTTATATCTAGATGTTCCTCCAAAGTCCCAATTACTCATAAGTGGGGTATTCAAAAGATGATTCTATTATAGGAGTGGTGTAGTCCAATTGCTGTTAGGCAGGATCTGGTTGGCAGAGGTAGGTCTCTGGTAGCATGGCCTGGAATAGTTTATCTAAGCCCCCAGTCCTTCCCTTCATAATCTCTACTTTCCCAAAGCCACAGCATGAGCAGCAATTGATCTGCTATGCCATCCTGCTAGGAGGTCATCAGACTATGGAGTGAAACTCGTACAAACCATGAGCCAAAACAAACGTTTCCTCCTTATAGGTGTTAGGTATTATATTCCAATGGTGGGAAAACTGACTATGAGACATTTTGATACTAGAGAAGTGGGTTTGTTGCTGCCCTGCCACCTGCCCCCCTATATTTCAGAAGCTTTTGAATGGTTCAAAGAGGAGTTTTGAAAGGTTTGAAGATGTCAGCTAAAGGAGCCTTAGAATGCTATAAACTGAGCTTATGGAGATTCTCGTTGGAGCTTAGACTTAAAGGCTGATAGAAATGCAGCTGGTAAAGAACAAACTCAAGATGTTTGCTAGGAAGAAGGACTCTATTGACACTTGAAATCCAGACCATGCGTGTTATCTTCTGGTAGAAAGTTTGTCTACATTTTGCTCATGTCCTGAGGCTTTGTACAAAACTAAGACTGAGCCTAGCAGACTAATCTGGGAAAGAAATATCAAGGCAGCCTAATGTTGGGGCTGAGATGGGGATACTGGGAGCTTTTAACCAGGTTTATACTGAAACTCAGAAGCAAATGTTCATGTTTAAAGTTGTCAGTTTTGGCAGAAAGAAAGTACCTACAAAGATAGAGCAGAAGAGAACTTGGTTGCTGAAACAATTATCATTAAAAAGAAGCCCCATACAGAACAATAAGAAAAGTGTCTTAAGGGCACGAGAGGACCAGCCAGGCCCTACCCTTCACAAAGTCAAAGTTGCAAAACCGCTTTGAAAAAGAGAACCCTGGGACACTCTGTTGAAGGAGGACTGCCTAGGAAATTGATTTCCCCAGATTCAATTCACCATGCTCAGCCATCCAGGCACTCAGTGCCTGATGTAGCCATAATTACAGGGACATAGCTACTAGTCAAGCTGTTGGAAGACCTTAGAGGCATCCATGTGAAGCCTGTTTCATAGCCAACCAGAATGCAAGAGTTGTAGGGTCATGGAAGCTTCTGCCCAGATTTCAGAAAATTCCCTGGGAGGCCAGGCAATGTGCCTCAAGGAGGGCAGTGTGTGATATTGTACATGTGAAGCCAAAAGTGCTGAAGACATCCCAGAAAGTGGAAGAAGCCAGGAACACAGAAAATCTGCTCAGGAAATTTGCAGGCAGTGAGGATCAGAGCCAGCCCAAGAAAGAAGCCATGTGGGTGACAGCCACCAGCAACACCACCAGGCTGAAGCCATATAAGCTATTTGAAGCTCACATCTCACCCAAGTTTGCCCCACATGCTAGATGCAGAGCTTCAGGATTTAATGTCAGCCTTACTGGGCTTCAGTCTTGCTTTGGTACCATTGTTTTCTACCCCTCTCTTTTGGAATGGAAATATTTACCCTGTGCCACTGTATGTCAGCAGTGTTTAATCCTTTTTTACTTTTATAGGAGCTGACAGCTAAGAATATTCCTTAAATCTTAGAGAAGAGTTTAGACTTGGACTTTGCTGCAATTCTGGAACTGGAAAGACACTGGCAACTCTTAGAGACAGACTTTAAAATTTTGTTTTGCATTAAGGGGGTCTTTGGAGGGCTAAGGGCAGAATGTTATAGTTTATATCTAGCAGTCCTCCCCAAGGTATTAGGCACTCGTAAGTGGAGTTTTTGAAAGGTGACTGGATTATGGGGCTATATCACCCACTTGCTGTTAGGGTATGGCTGCAAGGAGTGGGTCACTGGGGGCTCAGTCTAGCAGTTTATCTCCTTCCCCAGGTTCTCTCCTCATGTTTTCTGCTTCCTTCAGCCATGCAGCCCTACTGGGAGCCAACAGACTATGCACTGTAAACTCTGCAAACTGTGAGCCAAAATAAACCTCACTTCCCTTGAGATGCATGGGTCAGGTACTACGCTCTAGTGATGAGAAAAGTGACTAAGACAATGCCTTCCTCCTTCAGTGGACTGTAAACTCCTTGAGGTCAAGGCCCACATCTGTCTCACTTCACTCATATCTGTACCTCAATACTGAGCCATAACACACACACACACACACACACACACACACACACACTTTTAGTGATTTGGTAAACACCTCTAGGACTCAAGAGACTAGCACAGTGACATGACTGTGATATTTGCTCAAATCCACCTTCAAGAATAGAAAACTTAGGGCTAGGGAGATGGCTCAGTGGAATAAGCGCTTCCCTGGCAAGCGCAAGGGCCTGAGTTCAATCCCCGGTTCCGCAAAAAAAAAAAAAAAGAATAGAAAACTTAGTTCCATCCCCTCCTTGCCACTTGGAGTGCTGCTAGTAGACACCCTCAGCTGTCAGCTCTCCTTGGGGAATGCCTCCTGCTAAAAAAAGTGTCAAATCATGCCCTCTTCCAGGGCTAGTTTGCATTCAGTGCCTAATCAGTGCTGGGTTTAAGGTCTAGACCCTCATATCAACTTAGCACATTCGCTTCACGGACATCCCAGCTTCAAAGTTCTGTAGTTCTCCTGAAGACTGTTGGGATGATGCTGTGGATTAACCTCTTCTTCTCTCCTTCTTTCATGTCCTTTTCCCAAGAGTATTTATCCCAACAGTACCCTTAACAAATGCCTTGCACCTTAATCCTTATCTCAAAGTCCTGGGTAATGAAGTCCATGATGGATACTACACAAATGTTTACAAACTGAGTATTATGATCCATAGTAATCCATACACTCCTCCCCGAAAGTGATGCTATATAACCTTCTGTCTGAAAAGATTAGAAGTTGCTTTTCAGGTAGCAGACATCACAAGCACATCAAAGGAATTATTACCCCCTAATGTGGTCTAGATTCAGCTACATTCTTCTTGTTCAAAGTACAGTCCTGTAGTCAAGGGCACTGCCATTTCCTGGGTACTTTTTCAACAATGCAAAACCATATTTCCCAACCTGAATCAGACCTGCTCAGTCTTGATCTACATTTCCTCCGAAACCCTGATGTTTGCATGTGCATTACCAGTTCGAGAAGGACTGAGATCATCTAGCTGAGAGTTCCTCTCTAGTTTAAGCAAGTTCTTCGTGTGTTTTTGCTAAAATTCTGCTTAAACCTAGTGCAATTGTGCATTCCTTCATTCCACAAATACTACTTGAGTTTTAAGCAAACATTTCATCCTTGTAGAGCTGCATATTAAGGGAGAGATAGTAAAATAAAAACGTGTATGTTAGTGTGTGCGAAGATAAAAGGTGGGATCAAAAAAAAATAGAGCAGAGTTAAAAAGAGAACAGGGAATTTAAAATATTTTCAAAAGACTGTGTTAAACATGGAAGTAGACGAGGTAGCTAGACACGAGCACGTTTGAGCACAGGCTTGGTAACTGCAGTAGACCCAAGGAGACCAATGCGGCTGGAGGGAAGGGGACACGCCAAACATCAGAAAAGCAAGAGGGCCAGTGAGAGCTGCTTAATGACTTGCTATTTGACCTTTCGCTCCTAAACAGGTAATGCAGGTTATTTTCTCCTCGAGAATAAAGATATCTTTGGCCAAGTCCAACAGAGGTGGGTGAAGGGAGCGTGCACAAACCATTTCACTAGCGCACTCTTAGGCTCCTCAAACAAAAATGCTGAGATTGGAGAAGGCCTTTAAGGATTCCTTCTGTTCCAGACTCACTCTGAAAGACGCCTCGCTGAGACGCCTACTAGAGTGAAAGAAAAATACTCTCCAGGGCGTGAACCAGGGCAGAGTTTTGCAGCCCCAGGACAACACAAACGGGAAGAGGAATTGCGGAAGGTGATGCCAGGAAGGTGCTACCAGGCGGTTCATACTCGAGTTTCTCACGTAGGCAAGCAAATCTTAACCACAGACTACGCACCCTCCCTTTCCGAGCTCTGCTGAAAGCCACTCCTTTCAAAATAAGCTCTACCCTCCTCGCCCAATCTCTGTCCGGCCGTCCACGCCCCGGCCGCGCCCCGCCTACTCGGGTGCTCTGCCTCTCACGCCCAGCCATAAGCACTTAGGGGTTTTCGCCCCACCCCCACCCCCGGCCCGCCTCCCCGCGTCCGGCCCACTCTGGGTCTCCCGGTCCACCCAGGCCTTCAAAGCGGAGGGTTAGTCCTGCTTCCTCTCCGACCCCGCCTCCCGGCCCCGCCTCCTCCCGGCCCCGCCTCCTCCCGGCCCCGCCTCCTGCCTGCACAGTAATCTAGGGCGGAAGTGACATAAGACCTAGCGGGAGGCAGCTCCTGCGGCTCCTGCAGCGGGTCTGAGCTGGGCTCGAGGTTCCGAGTGGCAGCATGGCTGTCCCGGTCCTCCTGCTCCTTCTTGTGCGTTCCGGGATCCTGGCTGAGATGAGCACCACGGAACCAGAGCCGTCCTCCGGTACTGTCGCTGGCGGCTGAGTCGCGGCCGTGCGGGGGCGGGCGGGCGCGGGAGGGGAAGCGCGGGCCGCCACAGCTGGGAAGCCCCGCCTGGGCGGCCGCCCTGGCTTCTCCGGGTCCGGGCTCCGCCGGGGCTGCGGCGACGCGGCGTCGCTGCCAGCGCAGTTAAGCACACCGCTGAGTTACTTCAGACTGCAGTCTGCTCTTACTGATTGCTTTTCAATAAATGAGTTTCCAGGTCATCATTGGGCATCATTTAAGCCAGGCTGCTCCTGGCTTAAAAATACCTCAGTGTCAGGGTGCGTTCGCAGTCCTTAGGACAAGGGAGCAGTTTTTTGTCGGCTGTCGAGAGGTATTAAGAAGGTATTAAAATGTTGGTCTTTTGTCTAACTCTGCAAGCGGTGGGATGCGCACGCTCAGTAGCCAGGATATGCTCAGGACTCTTCGCATAGTTAAGTGTTCGGAGCGTTTTATTGCCTCCTGTGTCTGACATTTCCCAGGAAGCGAAGACTGGAGCTAGCTTTAATGAAGTTCAGAGTAATCGTGATTAGGAGGTGCAGTGAAATCGTTATGCCTGTTGAGTTCTTGTTAGATCTTCTCTATTCATATCCGTCCCTCCTCCGGCTTGATCTTCAAAAGTCAAGCCAACAATGTACTCATTCCCTTGGGGCAGACGTGTTCCCAAATTCTGCAGAGACAAAAATCGTAGTTATTCAGTTTCTGCTTTCCAGGATTATGATAAGATCCGTGATAAAAGTTACTAAGAGCTGCCCACCGTCGTAAGTGCCAAACAGCTTGTTTTTGTAACATCCCTGCAAGGAAGCTCTATTGCTATTTCTGTTTATGGGCGAGAGATTGATGAGGCAAAGAGGTCACTTAGCTTGTAGAAAGGTCACTACTACTCTGGGGAGCTGGGTGCTTTGGCTCCAGAGTCCAAATTCTTAATCATTCTGCTAACTGCCATTATGTAGGGCAAGGGCAAACTATTGCAGTTTGCTGTGTAATGGGCTGCTCCGCCCCAAAGTAAGATTTGGGTGCGGGCTCCATCCTGTGACATCAAGAAAGACTTCAGGAGATTACCCTAGCCTCAGAACTGGAGATGCACAGGCAGAGATGGGAAGTGGTGTGTTGAATTCGAGGACTACAGTGTTTTGTCCAGACTGTGATTGAGCGTACAAGGGGAAATAGAATAGGTGGAGAGGTAAGAACCAAGTAATGAAATGCCATGCCATTCGGAATGCAAGGGATTAGAAGCAAAGCTTTGGATAACTTTAGCAAAAAGGAAATTATTAGCTCAGAATATCCGAGCAACAGTTAAACAGAAATTAGTCAGGAAGCTAGAACCAAAAGCTCAGACTGTTCAAATATGTCTTTTCTTAATTCTTTTTGGACGTTGGCAGCTTCCCCACTAGAGCAGAAATCATGGATGCTGATAACATTTGAGTGTTAAAACCATGCACCTTCTCCAGGCACGGAGGCACCCTACCCTGTACTCTCAACTCCTTGGGAAGTTGAGGCAGTAGGCTCATGAGTTCAAGGCCGGCCTTTGCAATTTAGCCATGTCTCAAAACTTAAAAATAAAGGGTTTATTGCCATTCAAATATTATAGGTGCATGAATTCAGCTAAATAATCCAATATAATCCAGTAGACCATAATAGTAGTGGGTTATCTGCAAAACTGGCAATGTCAGAAGTTCTTGACTCGAGCCTTTTACAGCTCAGCATATTAATATGGCTTTATGGTTTATACTTTTCTGCTGGATGGTTAAGACCAAGATGAAACAAGACCTATATAACAAGAAATGTAACTTTTGTATCTGACAAGGTCAGTCAGATCCCCTCAGGATTCACCCTGAAACCCTGTAGAGCAGTTTAATGTTTGAATGGCATTGGAACACTCATCTCTGACAAAACTAAACAAAAAATAGAGATATAAATGACGGTTCATTTTGTAGTAAATATATATATATATATATGTATATGTATATACAAAAAAGTATAGATATACAGCTACTTTCTCTTAGTTCAATGAGAAGAAAGATTTATACTAATAGTGTTTAGACAAGATATCATGTCTACATCTTGTATTCTGAATAACTACAAAGGCAGCAATATGAAATGTATTAATTATTGTAAATGCCATACTAACCTGTTTTGAAACTCTCTCATTGTTATTTTTTTCTCAATAAAATTAATTTAAAAAATAAAAATAAAGGGTTTAGAATGTGGCTCATTGGCAGACGGAGGGCTTGCCTAGCACACTTAAGGTTCTGCGTTCACTCCTGGGTACTACACCCTCTACCCAATCTTGCAGCTTCTTCTAGCCTAATGAAATCTCTGGGGAAGGCTCTGATTTGCCCTGCTTGGTTGGCTGCCAGCACCTATGGGAAAGCCATGGTCAAAGGGAATGGGGTGGGGGCATTCCCAGGAGAAGTAGTGTGGGGTTCCTGAAAGCCAACAAAACTATATCTAGGATAATATCTAGAGCTCAGACTGTTAAAATGTGTCTTTTCTTAATTCTTCTTGGACTGTGACAGCTTTCCCACCTTAGCAGGAATCAGGGATGCTGGTAACCTTTGAGTGTTAAAATCATGCTAAAATATATCAAGCTAAATATATATAGCAAGCTGTATCCCTGGCTGAGGTCACTGGGCAGCCACTAGTTCATATTACAAAGGGAAATGATTTTATGCAGGGCGAACTATGCAACTTAGAAAGGCCAGTCTTATAAAAGAGTTTGAGCAAAGAGATCCCTTAGCAGTCTGCTTCTTGAATCTGAGGAATGGGAGATGAGAATTGGTAATGCATTGGAAGGGAGTGGACCACATGAAGGAATATTTGGGAGGCCGTGTGTAGGACCCCGAAGGTGGAGAAGAGAATGGTTCAGTGTCCTGGCTGGACCAGAGCACCAAACCAAGTGCCAGCCCTTTCCTTGTACATTGAAGTTCCTCTTGGGATCCCTTGGGGCTACGCAATCGCACATCCTCCCAAGCCTGCCCTGGGAGTGGGGCTTCCTGCCTGCACCCTTTGCAGCCTTTTTGTACTCTGGCACTTTGTCAGCCCAGAGGTCAATGAGACCCACCCTCTTATGTCAAAGTTAATTGAAAAGGCAAGGTCCTTCGTGTAGGAGGAAACCCACAGTGATACCTGTGTCTGGCTCTTGGTTAGCTTCCCGTTCTCACCAGTACCTCGCTGTGTTTACTCTTCTGGCCAGCTTGGCAGCAGAGTGGGAAGATCATCTTGGCCAAAGGCATCTGGCAGGAACAGACGAGCAGGGAAGAGAATGTAGTGAAGTGACACAGTCACTCTGGAAAATCCCAAGTGTTGGTGGGTGTATTGTGGTACAGTCGTGGGCTTTCATATTTCTCAGTGAAAACAAAAACAGTGTGCCCCTAATAACCAGTGCCATTTCATCCCTATGGGCTTTCACATATGAAAGTAGTGTGTTTGTTTTTAAGTGAATTGAAGTCACCTACTGGCTGTCTCCTTCCAGCGTGCTGTTCTGGTCTAGTAGCATCTAAAGACATGCCCTGAGGATGAGCCCTTCACCTAATATTTTATCAGTCCTATTGCTACTCATTCTCTGACTTTAGGAAAATGGGTGGTGTTTAAAATTGTCGCTATTTTGTTCAGATTCTATTTACTTATTTCAGAAATTCAAAATACCACATTTTAGATAGCACTGTATAAGACAAAAGAGCAAACTGTAACAGTACACTCTGGAAAGAGTAGGTTCTTGTCATTTTCTTATGAAGGAGTGTCTTTATGTTAGGTTATTCCAGTGCATAATAATCAGAATCCTGAATATCTGTTTCATTCTTTTCTCCTGTCTGTCACTAATGATTTATTGGAGTCTGTTGTTCAGCTTTTGCACTGGCTGCCCTCTAATTGTGGTAGAGTCGTAAAAGGAGCCAACACTGCTTGAAGCAGATGCTTGTGAAGTCATCAGAAAACAATCTCACTTGGGAAGGGCAGGCAGGGAAGGGAGGAAGGGGAAGTAAAAATATCAAGATGTGTTATGTGCGTGATACTGCCCACCGTGAATGTACTCATTCAATATCGCAAGCATGTACTAATGAAAGAAGAAAATAACCATTATCCCTCACTGAAGGATGTTTCCTTACAATGAACAAAACTTATTGTCAGGTGCTTTCATGATGTCTCTAGGCCCTTGTTTTCGTACTGGGAAATCATGTATAATAATCTTATGCCCATCATAAGATCATTTGAGGGATTATCTGAGAATAAATAAAAAGGTTGAGCACTGTGTATTTTATGTAGTAGATGTTTAATATATATGATTACTACTCCGTATTGCATGTCATTTTTAATGGATACACTTTAAATATTAAATTGTTTTTGCTTATATATAAGAAATTGTATTGGCTTTTAAAAATCAAGTTATTCAAATCACTATGAGAAATTTAAGATATATTCAGCAGCTAAGTCATTCTTCCACCTTTTTTTCTTTATAAGCTGAAAAGGCCTGCTTTATTTATTTATTTATTTTCCAGACTCCTCTCAACTTAGAATAAATGAGTCCAAAATGGCTAATACTCAGAAGTTACTGTTCTCAAGGACTAGATTGGTCTAGCCCAGTCAGAATTCCTGCTAGCCCAGGCCCAGTTAGATGGAACTGGATCAACAGGAACAAGAATAAGCCACACCCTGGCCCTTAAGCCATGCCTATGCTGAGGCAGAAGGATCTCTTGAGCGTAAGAGTTCAGAACCGGCCTGAGCAACATAGTAAGACACTATCTGTTTTTTTAAAAAAAAGAATAAAGTCCTAGCTTTTAGGCCAGAAAGGTAGGTGAACAAGTATTATTAGCTAAGGTCTAGCTGGTGGTAGTTTGGGTGAGAAATATTTGGGAAGAGGAGAGGACTAATTCATAGTAAAATACAGTCTGCATGTGTAGTGCTTTTTTTAAAGAGAGAGAAAGAAAAACTTGTTGACATCAATTGCATTAGTTCTGGGCTCCAGATTTTAAGAGAATGCATGAA